CCGAAGCCCCCTCCTGGCCTCGCCCTTTGGCCAGCCCCTCCCCGGGCTGACTCTGGTCAGGGTGGGCAGCTTCCACTTCCCTGCCTTTTCTCCCACCCCCCACCCCCCCACTCCTCCTGCTCTTTCAGACTCCTGAATGTGGAGTTTTGATTTTTCAGCCCCGCTCTTTTGTGGGAAATGGGGGTTTGTTCCCTTCAGATGATCTGGGGAGTCAGGGAGAGCAAGGGTCCCCTTCTTTCCTGCTTCTCGCCCAGCCTGGCCAACGCTTGATCCCTGGAAAGGGAGAGCGGGCTGCCGCTGGCCTTGAAGCCACCGTGCTTGGCTAAGCCCCGGCAACAGATCTCATATCTCACAGCTGGACGGAGGTTTTCCTTCTCCCACGCTGCGAAACCTTAGACGCCCTTCCCCTCTCTCGGCAGGTCAAATGTGGAAAGGCCAAACTCGGTGGGCAGCGCAGAGAGCATGCCTATCTATCTATCTATCTATCTATCTATCTATCTATCTATCTATCTATCTATCTATCTATCTATCCATCTATCTATCTATCTATCTATCTATCTATCCATCTATCCATCTATCTATCTATCTATCTTTATGTGTCTCATCTATCCATCATCTCTCTGTCATCTAATTCAATCTCTACCTACCTATTTATCTATCTGCCTATCCATCCATCTGTCTTCCTACCTAATATCTAATGCTATTTCTCTCTCATCTATCCCCCCCCTCTCTTTATATCTGTCTCCTCTATCCATCATCTGTCTGTCTGTCTTTGTTGTCTAATTCAATCTCTACCTACCTATTTTATCTATCTGCCTATCCATCTATCCATCTTTCCTACCTAACATCTAATGCTCTCTCTCTCTCTCTCTCTCTCTCTCTCTCTCTCTCACACACACACACACACACACACACACACACATACCCCCATCCATCCATCCATCCATCCATCCATCCATCCATCATCTATCTATCTATCTATCTATCTATCTATCTATCTATCTATCTATCTATCTATCTATCTATCTATCTCCGTCTGTCTATCTATCTATCTGTCTGTCTGTCTGTCTGTCTATCTATCTATCTATCTATCTATCTATCTATCTATCTATCTATCTATCTATCTATCTATCTCCCTATGTCTATATGATTATCTAGCTATCTATCGTATTGTGCATTCACATCCTATTTCAGTCAAAAGGAACACGGGAGTAAAATGCAACACCTAGAAGATAAAATCTGAAACCTTAACAGGGAGATTACGAACATATACACCTAAGTTGCAAACATAACGCCTTAACTTCACTTGTCACAGTCTGGAAGTCAGCGAAAACTCCAGGATGGTTTTTTGTTTTGACACTCCGTCGCTACGGGTTGGCTGGCTTGTTTTTCAGCCCCACGGTCACAACGAGGGGACGGTATATTGCCCCACTTGTCGAGGGCATCTGTGCATCGACCACGACCAGTATGAATTGGGTTGAATGTTGCAGAGAGCACGGAACACACAGGAATAGGGCTGGAAGGGACCCTGGAGGTCATCTAGTCCAACCCCTTGCTCAAGCAGGAAACCCTATCCCATTTCAGACAAATGGCTGTCCGGTCTCTTCTTGAACACCTCGAGCGTTGGCGCACCCACAACTTCTGGAGGCCAGTTGTTCCACTGATTATAATAGAATCATGGAATCCTAGGGCTGGATGGGACCCTGGAGGTCTTCTAGTCCAACCCCCTGCTCAAGCACCATTCTGGACAAAGGGTGGTCTGGAATCCGCTCTCCTTTGGACTGTTGATTCCCCTTCTGAAGGACTCTTCAATCTGTGATCTCGCCGATGTTTAATGCCGGGCTCTTGTCTTCTTCTAGCTGGCAACCGGAACGGCAGATTCCCTTTGGGGACGTGCGGCTGCCCCCACCCACAGACTACAGCAAGGAAATCTCCGAAGGGGACGAGGTGGAGGTGAGGTGGCCATTTCAGGGCTGGGGTGGGGGAGGGCAGGGCAGGGGATGGGCTGCCTCGGCTCCAACGCCTCTCGTTGTTTCCAGGTTTATTCCCGCGCGAACGAGCACGAGCCCTGCGGCTGGTGGCTGGCCAGAGTCCGGATGATGAAAGGAGATGTAAGTCTTGGGACAGCAGCCCTCCCCTTCTCTCTCTCTCTCCATCTCTCTCTTCCTCCTTCCCTCCATCTCTCTCTCCCCATTTCTTTCCCCATCTCTCTCTCTCGCTCTCTCCCCCATCTCCATCTCTCTGTCCCCATGTCACTCACTCTCCATCTCTCTTCCCATCTCTCTTTCTCTCCATCTCTCTCTCTTCCTCCCTCCCTCCCCATTTCTCTCCCCAGCTCTCTCACTCTCTCCCCCATCTTTCTCTCCCCATCTCTCTCACTCTCCTCCACCTCTCTCCCCCTCTCCCTTCTTTCCTTCCTCTCTCCTTTCTTTTCCTTTCTTCCTCTTTCTCTCTCTCTTTCTCTCTCCCTCTCTCTCTCCATCTCTCTCTTCCTCCTTCCCTCCATCTCTCTCCCCATTTCTTTCCCCATCTCTCTCTCTCACTCTCTCCCCCATCTCCATCTCTCTGTCCCCATGTCACTCACTCTCCATCTCTCTCTTTCTCCATCTCTCTCTCTTTCTCCCTCCCTACCTCCACATTTCTCTCCCCAGCTCTCTCTCTCTCCTCCATCTCTCTCTCCTCCTTCCTTCCTTCCTTCCTTCCTTCCTTCCTTCCTTCCTTCCTTCCTTCCTCTCCTTCCTCTCCTTTCTTTCTTTCTTTTCCTTCCTTCCTTCCTTCCTTACTTCCTTCCTTCCTTCCTCCTTTCTTTCTTCCCTTCTTCCCTCCCTCCCTCCCTCCCTCCCACAGCTCCTACACGATTCCTTGTACATCCTTTGGGAGCTTTTCCCAGACTCACGGTTGGTGTGGCCTGTGGCACTGCCCCTCCCCTCTTCTGCCTTCTCTCCAGCCTTGCCCTCTCTTGCAGTTTTACGTCATAGAGTACGCGGCTTGCGACGCCATCTACAACGAAATTGTCACCTTGGAGCGATTGCGGCCCGTCAACCCCAGCAAAGTGGCCACCAAGTGCAGCTTCTTCAAAGTCACCATTGCGGTCCCGGAAGACCTCAAGGAGGCGTGAGTGTCCTTGGC